TGGAATCCATTATATAACATGACAAAGCACCATTGAAAGAAAAGCAAGCATAAGTAATTACATCATGGCTTTAATTTATACGCTGAGTATATAAAAGATATTACACATATAAAAACATGTGTTATTCATTTTGGGGCTGATGCTGAGTTATATTCCTGGCTAGAATGGAAATATATTATTAAATAAAATATGAAGCATAGAAATTTAATTGTTCTCTGTTAATATAAAGGGCATCACTATTTTTGTTGATTATATTTTGCTCCCTCTAATGCTTCTGTGAGGATACTTTGGTTTGATATATGTTGTTTCTTTTTTTGTTTTTTAATTTCAATTATTGGAATAAAAGCATATTGATAAAAGACTTGCAAATACCCTTGTAATGTTGTCCAGATATCACTAATATGTTTTTTAAATAAATATTTTAATTTTTGACAATGATAATAATGTAGTATTTACAGTGACAGTAACTGTGCAAAAAACTACTTTTGCTGAAAGTAATTTTAACTTGTTATTTAGATTATTATTATTTTTTTTAGGTAAAATGTATAACATTTGTAAGAATCAGCTATAATCCTATCACATCTTTTTAAATATGAAAAATAAACTGAAATAAACATTTTCTCCTATTGCCAAAGAGATATATATCACATATCATCCTCATGCACAAATATAGAATTTAGATTTTTATTTTTTTCTTTTACCAACATAGAATCACTACTTACTTAATAGAACAAAATTATGTTTGTGTTTTTTTTCTACTCGTACCCTCTCCAAGTTTATAAAAGTTAATGGGCATGTTTTAAGTTCACTAAGTGGATATTTTTAATTTGATGCTTAATTTTCATACCATAATGTAATTAACTTATTCAATTATCTTCCAATTAAAGAGCATTTGGTTTCCCAAAATATATTACTCAACAGAATTTCAATTTATAAGTTTGAAATGAACATTATAGTACATTTATATTTATATATTACCTGGCATTATTTTCCTTTAATATAATCCTCAAAGAAGAATAAATGAATTTTTCCTGTAAATACTGATAAATGCTGCAAAATAACTCTATAAACATGTGATAGATAAAGTCATCCCTAAACTCATTGAGTTGATTGAACTCATCCTTTCCCATAGGATTTCTAAGGTTGTAATTTTTACTGAACAAGCTCTGGTGGTATAGTGGTTAAGGCATTTGTCTGAAAACCAAAAGGTTAGTAGTTTGAACCCAACAGCCATGCCATGGAAGAAAGATGAGGCGGTCTGCTTTTGTGATTAGTTATAGCCTTGTAAACTCAGTGGTGGTCAGTGAGTTAAAAAAGACTCACTGGCAGTGACTTTGGTTTTGGAATTGGAATCTTTACTGAAGTAGACTGCCACATATTTCCTCCAATAAGCAGCTATTGAGTTTGAACCACTGGCCTTTGGGTGAGCAGCCTAACACTTAACCACTGTGCAACTAGGGCTCCTACTATAAAGTAAAATTCCCACCAAATATACATGATTTACTGTTTACTAAAAGGATACTTAATTGTAATCATCTTCCACCATGTAAATATCTCATAATAGTTTTAATGTGAATTCTCTCAAAACTATTGAAGTTGAATATTTTTTATAAAAGTATAGCTATTTAAAAAAATTTTACAACCTATGTGTATATTATTTGCCCATTTCCCTATTAGTATGTTTATCTTTCATTGATTCATGTGCGTTTTTGATATATTAAATTTATAGGGTAATATTTAATAATGTATTATCATTTATATAGTAATTAATTATATTGCCAAAGTATATAAAATTACTATTAAAATGTATGTTCTAAAAATTCATATGAGTGGAGCAAAAAATAATATCTTTGTTAAAATGAAGAAAAAATTTTTTAAAAATGATCTATTTTTAGCAACTAGTAGATCTCTTTAAATGTGCTTAAACAATGGTCCATTTAATTACTTCAAGAATTCAGACTATTATAGTAAAAGAAAAAATATTGTGCATGGTTTAAAATATTACTATAATTTAGGTTTGCTGTTTGCTACTCTGGATGAAGAGGTAAATTAGCTAGCAAGAATATTAGATTTTATACAAATGTTATTTTATGTTTTGCTCCATTTTCTAAGGGGGGGAAAGTATATTATGTTTATAACAATAATCAGGCCCTTTCAGAAGTGTGTAAAGAAAGATAAGATTATATATCACTCTGTCAATGAAATGAATGAAATATTAAATATCAAATTAAAGAGTGCAGTTATTGCCTAGTGAGTAAGCAGAGTGGTCCAGTTATAAAGGACAATAGGAACAAAGACAACTGCTATATTAAAGTATTAAGAAATTGTAATAATTGCTCATCATAGAATGTTGGACAATTATATCTGGGAGTGTTGCAACTGTTTATTTTTGTAGAAGAGAAATCTGAAAGTAAAGGTTATTAAATGGCTGTGATTTCAAATCAACAATTGGCAGATCCAGGGCTAGAAAAATAGGCACCCTGATGGGTAGTTTAGCACTTTGTTCCTCTGTGAAATGGAATTTTTCTGCACAGTCTGTTGTTTGCTGCTCTATCTCACACTAGGGCACATATCTGACCTATATTGAGCAACATTACAATTGCTCAACTTTGATAAGATTTTTACAAGTCTTTAAAACCATTTATTTATATAATTATTTAACCTTTATAAGCACCATTGAAAGAAAAGCAAGCATAAGTAATAATAATAAAATGTACAACAGAATTGTAATGCTACCTCATAAATTTAAAATCAGCTGCTTTCTGATATGTTATAATATAATATGATAAATTGTTCATTTTTTCCAAAAATGAGTTAATACATTCCTAATCTGTGGATATGACTCTACTTAGCACCTATTTTTTTTTTTTTTTTAAGAATTATTTTTGTTGTTGTTGTTGTTTATTTGCTTGCTTGCTTTCTTTGAGAAGATCATCCTCAAGTAACATCAAGAAATCATTACCAATTATAATATACAATTATATACTGTAGCCCCCTGAGGAGTCTGGGTGATGCAGTGGTTAAGTGCTATGTTGATAACTGAGAGGTCTATACTTGAAACCACCAGCTGCTCCAAGGGAGAAAGATGTGGCAATCTGCTTCCCTAAAAATTTACAGCCTATAAGGCAGGTCTACCCTGCCCTACAAGGTCACTTTGAGTCAGGATCTACTTAGGTCAGGATGATGTATATGCCAGTGTGAGAGAAACAGATAACGACCAACAGTGATACCCCTACAAACCGATAATCAAGGACATTCCTCGTTCTTACTTTAATAATTTGCATTTGACAGAATCATTACAAACCTTGACATAATATTCTGAAAAAAGCATATTTTTGTTGTTGTTGTTTCTTTAATTTCACAAATATATTTACTGTTCTACTTGTTTGTTTTGTTTTACTGCTTCCTTGTTGGTTCCAGTTGATTCAGACTGTCAGCGTCACCGACAGGGATGACCCTCCCCGAGGCCACAAATTCTTCTTTGAACCAGTGCCAGAATTCCCCCTCAATCCAAACTTCACCATCATAGATAATAAAGGTAGAACACATCTTGAAAAGCTAAATGTATGAGACCTGAAGATACAAAATCAAAACTGGTCTGAGTTTGTTTTTGCCTCTCTCTCCCCAGATAATACCGCAGGAATTATGACTCGGAAAGATGGGTATAGCCGCAACAAAATGAGCAGCTATCTCTTGCCAATTTTAATCTTTGACAACGATTACCCGATTCAAAGCAGCACTGGCACGCTCACCATTCGAGTGTGTGCCTGCGACAATCAAGGGAACATGCAGTCCTGCAATGCAGAGGCCTTAATCCTCTCTGCTGGCCTGAGCACGGGAGCTCTCGTCGCCATTCTCCTATGTGTCCTCATACTGTTGAGTAAGCAATGCCTTTATCAATCCTCGTTCACTTACAAAAGTCACTCCCGTCGTGTCTTTGCCCAGTGATTGTACACTGAAGAACTCTTAAGCTCAAAATTGCAAAATTTTAACTTGTTCATAAAATTATTCTTTCCATTAGAAATGTAGAGAGATTTTTCACTCCCAAACTCCTAGGCATAGGTCTGGATTAATAGAGACCAAAGCCTAAGAAATAATAGCCAACATTATATATATATTTTTAAATATTCTTTTAAAATATTTTTTATATGTGTGGTGTTTAGTGTTAAGTAATCTTGATGACTCTTCTCAAACCATTGACTCTAATAACATTCAATTTTCACATTAACGCTATAAGGAAAAAACTTCATTACCATACAAAAAGGTTAAATAATTTTTCTCAAATCACTAAGAAAGTACCTTAGCCAGCATGCACCTAGACTGTTCTGGTTTAGAAGTAATCCTCTTTCCTAACCATTATTCTCAAAACCAAAGACTTCTTTATCTTTGCATGCAAAATAACTAACAAACATTAAATTATGTGACTCAAAACTCTAATTGGCAAATGAATTAAAGTGGTCCCAATAATATTTTTCTGTAGAAATTTTTATGTATTGGTACAATACATCAGATTAAAAAATGAAAGTTTAGTGTTTGAAGTATCAATAGGGTACTGTGGTCATTCCTAGCCCTGCAGTATTTTCCAAATAAAGTCATACTTCCAATAGCCAATGTTTTATTGAGCATGCCCTAACAGGACAACTATTTAATTCAATTAGACAGTTGTTCCACTGTAAAAATTCCCCAAAAAATTGTTTCCATGAAATATTCATCCAAAATTGCTTATGCGTAGGACCAGAAACCTAGCCAAATTTATGTTCTAAAGCTCATATGTGCTGGCTCTTTTTCATTGCAAATCCTTTCAAGCAATCTGGATGAAATCCCTTTGGCCAGATATCCTTGCAGGACTTCAGCGAAGGATTGATAAAAGCAAGGGGAAAAAACATTGTGTCTGTTGAAATAAGCCAACTATTTAGAGAAACGTTTTTTTTTTCAGGTATTCTAAAGAACATGCACACCACTGCAGTCCCCATCTGCAGTGCCCACCTCCACCTGCTGTGAGAATGTTCAACTCCTCTGTAAAATGCTTTTGTATCCCCATGGTGATTCAAATATTGCTTAGTCTTTGAGCTAAATGCTACAGCTTTCATATTATTTATTGGCTGAGACAGTTTTGGTTTCCTAATTTAGAACAACACGAAAATATAGAGTAATTTAATTTTTATTTCTGTATCACTGTAATACTGATGCTCTCATACATATGAAGATGTACACAGGTGAATGGAAGAATGGCTCCCTCAAGGGAAAGAAAGAAAAAAAACAAAAAACTGCAGCTAGTCTAACATTAGCAAAATGAATTCCGTAAAATTTTTCTCTATGCAGAAATCCTAGAAGGCTTATTTTTCAAAGATTGCCAACTTTCTATCCTGAGCAATTTTGAAGGCACACATTTCTTTCTTTCTTTCTTTTTTTTTTTTTTACCTTTCCAACTCATTGCCCTAATGTGGAGTCATTTTCTATTATTTTTGCAAAAACTGGCTCTAATTTGAAGAGTTTCATTATCAAAAGTCACTAAGATATCCTACTCTTGGGTGTTTATACTAATTGCTAGACGTAGTTACTGCATTCCTATAGTTAAGAGAAGCTGCCTTTGCAGGATGGTTAGTGAAATAGTGTGGGCAATAATATTTTAGGGCTATCTTGTTCCAGTTAAAACAAATGCAGTTTTTAGTCTATTTAACAAGG